ATAATTATGATATCCTGATCACTGGAGTGATGGCTCCCTCTGGTGGACACAGACTGAACCGTTCCATCTGAGACATTTAAACTATTAAAACGTTTGAGAACAAGAATATTCAACACATGAATAAATAGAAGAATAAGAGTTGATACATAAAACATATGTTGTCTTATATTTCCAGAGTGGAACCAATATTCTGGTGTAAAGTTGTGTCAGGTCATTATTGTGTGTTACGCTCTATACTTGACATGTGAGCCTCTCTAAGCCAATCAGGATCAATCTGCTACAGGTGAAGCTAAGTTTTCCTGAAAACAAGGTGATGACGTCTGTGACACAACTTTCACAGTTTTATAATAATAATAATAAATGAAAGGATTAAGAACGAAAGAAGAATGTCGGAGATGAAGCTCAGCGCCACGATGTTTTCTAACGATCACATTTCATTCTCACTGATGTGAAACACATGAACTGTGTCTTGAAACAAACAGGAAGAAGAGACCTGAGGTCACGTCTCCGTCATGGAAACTTGACGGGATCCTCAGTATTCAGTTTAAATGATTCAGATCGCTGTTGCCAGGCAACCACTCACATAATACTTTATCCATGATAAAGTAAAAATAAGAGACGGGAACACAAACAGATGTCAACACGTCGGAGCCTCGACACCAGATTCAGAGTCGAGAACGAAAGACGACAAACAAAAGAAGAGAAAATGAACTTTGTCTTTACAATTCACTTAATTCACTCAACCAGTGTCTCAGCTGCCTGATAAAAGTAATTGGATATAAACACGTATGATATTTTTACTCTGTAATATCGGTATCAGGCCTTAATGTCACATCAGCTGCTCTGACGCATCAGTTTCTACTTTTATGTTTACTGGTAGGAAAACTTTTATTTTACAGAGTATTCAGATTAGTTACATCTCACATTAAGAAATGACGTTTATTTCTGAGATCAAGTTCAATACATTTGGTTTGTTTTCTTTTTGTTTATAATTATTTATTAATAATCGAGTCATTGCCACCTACTGGCAACAGGATGTTTGTCACAACATCATGTTTGCTGCTTCCGCCCCAGAGCCACAAAATGGATTTCTGTTTACTTTTCATTTCTGTTTAGTTTCTTAACTCAAGTTTGATAAGTTTGTGTTTCTTCATTTAAAGTTTATGGTTAAATTGTAAAATATCAAACTCAATAACATTTCTGTGTCATAAGGATTTGAAAACAACATCTTAGACATTTAAGGTCCATTAAAATCCAAATCAGTCCGGTTCTGATAGTCGAGGCTGAAATCTGTCAAATTTAAAATCTACTTTGAAACAGCAGAAGAATGATGGAAAATAAAACTTTATCAATTCATCATGATTAAGACTCTTTAAAATATCATCTGGACACGTTCATGATTATCTGCTCAGATTTGTTTTATTCTGGATTTATTTATTTACAGTGAAAAGAATCCACAGATTTCAAACTGGTCAACAACGAGTTCTGGGCGATGACGAGTCGAACACCTGATAACGAGGAGACGATGTTAATCTGTTCGACAGGAAGCTCATTATCATTCTCCAGGAGGGTGGAGCTACAGGACAGCGTGACCAACAGGAAGTAAAGCCCCAGGACAGTAAATACATGTGTGTGTGTGTGTGTGTGTGTGTGTGTGTGTGTGTGTGTGT